AACGTTACGCTAATATGTAAACCATATTGTGAAACATTCCGGGCGATCATCCAATCAGATTTAAAGCCCGCTATGCTGGCTATGCAGCATACAACCATACGTATCATGTTTACGTTTATAGTTACACGAGAAAAGTAAAATAAGGTTAAAAGTACCGCACACCTGATACATTTGTCTCACATGTCGATATCGATATTGTATCCCAAAATCCACTTAACTATGTCGGAAGAAAAGATTATATTAAATATTGGAGGAATAAAGGTATAATAGTACGCAATAGTAAAATTTAAATTACTTTTTATACTTTCATGTTACGTATACATTTATTTTCTTTTTTTTTCTAAACAAATAAGTATGAAACTCTTCGGTCAACACTCACTTCTCAACCAGAAACATTACTTGGAAAAATGTTTCAAAAACATAATGAATACATTAAAAATTCATTTAATGAAAATGAATATTTTTTTAACCGTAATGGTGAAGCATTTTACTATATAATGGAATTTTATCGTACTGGAAAGTTTTTATGGCCTACTGAAAATAAAGAGTTAAAAGTCACTCATCAACAACTTAAAGAAGAACTTGATTATTTTCAAATAAATAAATCAAGAGCATATTCATCGTTGGCATCAGAAGCTGTTAAAAGTACAATTGATCGATTCATTTTAAGCCTTGAAGAATTAGTTGTTAAGCATTATATAAGCTTTAAAAATAGAATTTTTTTATTAATTGGATCTGTGAGTATTGTTATAAACCACGATCAATTAGATCATAGTCTTATCCAATTTAAAGAATGTGCTTACAATATCCTGAATAAAATGGAAAAGCGGATTGAAAACCATTTAGTTAAAACTTTTTCTGGATTAGAACTAAAATGGAAATGTGAACTAAGTTATACTTTTACAGCGTACGAAATCACTATCACTTTTTCTTCTCCGATTGAGAAATTATTAAAATATGAGAATAAACAAGCACACCCTGCATTCATCCAAGCTCCAGTAAGCACATCAGAAGAAAAGATTGTTTTAAACGTTGGAGGCAAAAAGGTATTGCATGAAGTATAATATAATAATAATTTTTACTTAAGCTATATTTATATATTTATTTACATAATTAATTATTTATTTATTTATTAAATAGTATGAAACTTTTCAATCAATTCTTGCAGTAAAACCAGAAACCTTACTTGGAGCGATGTTTCAAGATCGAAATAAATGTATGAGACATCCAGTTAATGGAAATGAATATTTTTTTGATCGTAATAGTGAAGCATTTTATTATATAATGGAATTTTATCGAACTGGAAATCTTCCATGGCCCACTGAATCTGAAAAGGTTACTTGTAAACAACTTGAAGAAGAACTTGATTACTTTCAAATTCCTTTTAATAAATCAACAGTATCTTGTTCATTCGCTTTAGAAACTGTCAAAAATAAGTTTAATAACCTTATTATTGCTTTTGAAGAATTAATCATTTACTGTTGTAAATATCTTAGAAATAAAATTATATTAGAAGTTAGACATGATGATATTCGTATAATTGGTAATGACTTGGTTAAAAAACATTATTTACAAGGTCATTTACTAGAAAAATTTTGTTCAACTAAACTTAAGCATTTGAATGCTTATTATATTTTAAATAATATGGAAAAGCAAATTGGTGATCATTTAGTTAAAATATTTTCTGAATTAGATTTTAAATGGGTAGTTAATCGAGCTCAAGATCACTTAAAAATTTATATTACTTTTTCAATCGATGATGTCTTTGATGAAATTTTAAATGATGGGTAAAGGATTTTCATATTGTTTTATTGTTAAAATAATATTTATTTAATATACTAAGATTTATATAGAAATTAAAAATTATGTTTGAGATTATTTAGTGGTAGATTTTTTTAATCTTTTTTTTTTTTTAAAAAGCATGTTTACTTAAAATCATAAAACTTAAAATTATTAAAGTTATGAACTATAAACAAAAAAAAACTATTATTGCTGAAAAATCAGTGTGGAATATAAATAATATTTACAGTATTACAATAGATATTTTATAAATTTTATAAAAAGAATTCTTTAATTCTTTATAATTATGAAAATATTTTGAATTGAATAAGTTTAATCAAAATTCATTCGAATAGTTTAAGTTTTTTTTTATTCGAATATATTCGAATAAACTCATTGATCAAATAAGGATTTTTTATTCGATTTAATCTGATAATAAGATCTAAAGTATATTTGGACAATCAAATTTCTCTATAATAATTCTACAGCGGAAATTAGGATTATCTAAATCCAAATACTGTTGTCTAGATCTGAAGGTATTGTACTATTGGAGCAATTAATCGAATAATTAACCTAATAATGTTGATTAATTGAATAATAGAATAAGAATTTAAGCGATTAAAAACACTAGTTAAGACTGGCTTGAAGTGTGGTACAGTTTGCTTTATCCATGAATTAAATTATTAGAATTGAATACAAGAGAATTCTCAGACATAGAATCACTGCTAATACTATATTTGTATATTAATGTTAGTTATTAATGAAAGGATTACATCGATGATTTTATGTTACATATACGGTCATATCGATTATACATAGAATTCCTATTTTTTTGAAGAGACAAGATATCGTCATTATTTCAACTACGTACGCAGTATATATGCGATACTACATCAATAGGGACATAAAGATATGGCAAATATATCAGAAAAATGACTTCAAAAAGCTATTTCGATAGCGATAGGCTTATTAATTATTAAGTACATAATGGTTTAAGAATCTATTATGATTTGCATGAAGGTTATTGAATACAAGCGGAGAGACAGTGAATTAATAACTGCTCTTAAAATGTCTTAGAGTTGATACAATAATAGTTGTAAAAACCTTTAGAAATTTTACTTTTTTATATTAAAACTTTTAATGGCATCCTATTTTAGAATAATAAAATCTTATAAGCAGTCAACAAGCTTAAACTATTACGAAGAATTTCTTGCCATCCAAAACGTCTATGAAATCACGAAAGGTAAACAAGCTACCGTGTACTTCCGAAATTAAGCCCCCCTCGGAGCAATTTTTATAGCCAAAATTCTCGTGATCTAATAATCGGATCTGCATAATTTTGGTACCATTCTGATCGTTTTGCAAGCTGATAGATCCGATTATTAGAACACGAGAATTTTGGCTATAAAAATTGCTCCGAGGGGGTGCTTATTTCGGAAGTATACGGTATTAATAATTTTGTAAATACTAATAATAATCATGTTGAACAAAAAATTTATCAAATATATGGATATTATAATATGTTTTTACAGTATGCTAATAAATGACTTTACGAGCATGCCTAGTGTTGGCGGTAGAATTAATTTGACAAATTAATACGATTACGGCTAGGGATGGGTTCGACTACGAACGGCTACGATCATTCATAGCCAATTTATTAAATACTGGGATGATGTTTTGTTCTTGAGCTTTTAATTATATTTGTTCAGAATTAAATTCTGGTCATCCCATATTATAAGTAGAAAGAACAATACCTTCTCTGGAACTCGGAATTTTAAGATTTGTAACGTCATAGCCGGTAGTGATTATAGTTGATAAAAATTTTATAGACTTAGTCGAGTCGATAGTTAGATATGACTTAGTCGACTTAGTCGACTAAAAATTAAAGTTCAATTAATTTCTTATATATTGCAAATAACATAAACTTATAACGATATACCTATTTATAGAGTACAATATATATAGTGCTCTTATAAGTGGGACCAAACTATACCATGCATTTAGAGAATTTACGCAGAGCATGCTCTTAATGAGTCTTACTGTATATACCTTAAAAAATTTACTTGTATTTACTATATTACACATATTTCCGAAACTACCCGCTGACCATGCTTGTATTTTATATTTAATTACTGTCTAACATCCGGAAACTTATGACTGTTTTATACTGTATTAAAATATTTTTATATACATAGTCGACTAAGCCGACTTTTTAAAAAATCGACTAAATTAGTCGACTAAGTCGGCTAACTAATGCCATATCGACTTGAAACACTAATAGCTGGCGGCTATGACATTACAAATCTTAAAATTCTGAGTTCCAGAGAAAGTATTGTTCTTTCTACTTATAATATGGGATGACCAGAATTTAATGCTGAACAAATATAATTAAAAGCTCAAGTATTTAATAAATTGGTTATGAATGATCGTAGCCATTCGTAGTCGAACCCATCTCTAGTTACGGCATGTGCCGTATTATTTGCCGTAATTAATTTGTTCCATAATGTCGTAATGTCGCAATTCCGTAATGCTATTATGCCGTTATATTGAAATACCATAATGCTGTTGTATCTAAATATTACAATGCTATTACAGTAATGTGTTAAAATACTATAATGCTACAAATAACATAGAAAAACATACATTATGGCGCATTTTTACACTACCCTAAAATTTAGGATACATATAATGACGCACTGTTAAATGAACTAAATGATTTAACCCATGATTAACTATCGAATGCATTTTGCAGGAGATGGGTTTTGAGGTGGGGAGATGGGTTTGACGTGATAAACTATATTAGTTTTATCCAATTTGGGGGTCATTTTAGTATATGCGTCATGTGTTCGATATTAATAATCACGATAATTCAATAGTAATTCGAGTTCTTAATTTCGGCCCAATTCCAAAAAAGCGCCGTAATGTGATAACATTTCGCTAGTGTTTATAGTTTAAAGTAATTTTTAGAATTAAGATAGTACACAGTAAATTTACTGTTTTGTGAATAGGTAATCATTAGGGCTCTGCAAGTGGGCACGCCGGGCACATTGGCACCAGACCAGGCACTAGTGCCTCATGCCGTGCCCATGCCTAAGGCACAAAAGTGCCAAGGCATTAATGTGGGCATGGGCACAAATGCCAGGCATTTTATGGGCATGGGCACAAAAGTGGCAGGTACTATTATGGCACAGCACAATATGCTAGGCAAAAAGGTGCCAAAAAGGTGCCAGGCACAAGTGCCGGGCAAAGTGTCAGGCACAATTAATTAATAGATATTAAATTTTTGTGCCCATGTCATTTATCGTTATCAAATTGACAAAATTGACTCCATAGATTTAATAGAATCACTGGACTTAAATAAAATCTATTAGTCAATTCTTAGTCTGTAAAACTTTAGTATATGAGAGCCTTGATCTCACCGTCAATAAAAGATAACTCAGTAGAGTTTGAGAGTAAACCTTCGAAATTCTAGTAGAAGTGTTGTCTCCAAGTAATTTTCCTTGAATTTCATAACAAATTGTTCCCGCATTATTTCTGTTCCCAATTTAAAATCATGCTTATTGAAGAAGAGAAAGCCAAAAAAGCCCAAATTCGCGTTGTATACCAATTACTAAAAACCCTAAGATCCATTGTTAACCCTGAATAATATAACAATCGAATTGATATCCCGTGATCTCTCATTGTTACATATTAATTGTTGCAGATCATGATTAAAATGAAATAAATGTTTCTACAGTACTGGGCAGCAAGAAACATTCACCTTTTATATATAAATATAAAAATGCCAATAACTTATAAACAAATGACTTCAAAAAAAATCCGTCTTACAGGTTTGTTGCTTTTAGTCTAAGCTACAATTCTGTAAGACGGGTTTTATTTTTATTATAAATTTAAAAAGTTATTAGAGCCTAAAGTTTATATGCAATCAAAAATTGGCGTTTAATATCTAAAAAAATTGTTTTTATAGATTTTTAACCAATCAGAATCTTGTTACAAAAAATAGCCAATCAGATTTGAGTATAAATCTCAAAATTTGGCGCTTTTAGATGTTTCTTGCTCCGCTACTGTATTTAACCACCTAAAACCACTCATAGTTGTTTATTATAAATTCTAATCTAAAACAAACCTCTAACCCTAACCCTAAAAAATTCACACAAAAAATTTTTATTTTTTGGTAGATTGTCTATTTTTATATTGTAAATATTTCATTTTAATTTGATTTCATCTTAATCTGCCACATTAATTATCTCGATCTGGGGATGGCAAATTTTAAAACACGATCTTAAAAATCATGTTTGTCTGATTTAAATCTGTTAAATAATGTTTTAATATATTATAATTAGCGATGAGATTTTTAATTATTAATTCTTAACATGAAATTGTTTACTTAATAAATCATTTTAACGATTAAGTTGTTAAATTGATTTATTAAGTTATCAATTTCATGTTAACAATTAATAATTAGGAATTCCCATCGCTAATTATAATCCGATTGCGTAATTTAAATATACATTATTATGATCAAAAAAATCAATGCTTCAAAACAACGTCTTATGTTCGTGGAAGATCAAAAGTTGCTAAACCTGAAAAACATGATCGAACAATACCTCGCCAAAATGTAATTATTGTGAAGAAGACTTTGTAGAATTAGTTGGCCAATTAAAAATTTCCAAGAAATATATAAGGTTTATTAAAAACTCAAATACAGGATTCTGTTTCATCAGATAATTCATTCCAAAACTTATTTAATGGGTTTACATAGTAGCAATATTGACTTCCAATACTAACAAATGTAAAACTAATATAGAATGAAAGCTTGTAATACAAATTTCACATTTAAAAATAATAGCAATTGATAACTTTGTTAAAAATTAAAGCGATCAAATATATAATTTTTTTATTTTTTTACGTAATATCTAATAAATTCGAAATTATATAGCACCATCTTTTTTAAAAAAAATTTCTTGGCTGAAAATTAATTTAATTATTTAGAAGCAAATATTTTCAGTTTA